TATTCCAATAAAAACTTAGGCACACTTGGATTTGAATTTCATATCATTTATGTGTCATGAAATAGTATTACTTAAAATATAAAAACCATAATGAGCTATAGACTGTACAAAAGCAGGCAGCAGGCTGGATTTGGCCTGCAGGCCACAGTTTGCCAACCCCTGCTGGAAAATATCTATATAAAGTAGCCTTTTAAGTTTATTATTTCATTTGAGAGAATGGAAAGGAATTTATATTTTATTTATTTATTTATTTATTTTAGGTGAGGCAACGCTTGGTTGACCTCACAGATTGCAAGAATCTTGTCAGCTTACAATCCCTTATTTTTTAAATTTTTTTACGCCTACAGCACCTGGTCTTCCTAAGTGGTCTCCCATCCAAGTACTAACCAGGCCCGACCCTGCTTAGCTTCCAAGATCAAACGGGATTGGGCTTGTTCAGGGTAGCATGGCCGAAGATCAGGAATTTGTCTTTTAAAGAGATTGTTATTCATATTCCTTCTGTATTATAGACTTTGTGTTTAGTTAAATATGAAAAGCTTAGTGATTTCAAAGTTTTGAAAGTACAACTTAAGAAAAAGTTAACACATATTTACATTTCTCAGCATATCAATATGCTTTATATATTTCTGTTTAATATTATCCTCTCTTAACTGGAAAGGAAGAAAAGGTAAAAAATTTTAAAGGGTATGAGATGACCAAAAATAGGTAACAGGGAAAATTTCAAAACATATTACTTGAAAATAGCAGTACCAAATCTACATACAGTATATATCCATTTTTGTTTAAAAACTATATGGAGGCGGGGGTCTAGATATATTCCCATTCATAGATGATTAACAGGAAACACGCCAACGTGTTAACAGTGACCATCTCTGGGTAGGGGGATTATGTAAAATTTTTATTTTTACTCTTTGCTTGCCTATATTTTCTAAGATTTTTCCAATAACATTAAAATAAACTGATACATGCTACATTATTTTAAACTAGAAAATATATCTTGAAGGACAAAGAAAACATCTAAAGAAATATTTAGACTCTTTTAGAGAGTATTCTTTGCAAATTAAAATTGAAAACTTGTTCGACGTTCTGTGCACAAGCAACTGTGTAGAAATGCTATCTCAATAATTATTGTAGTTAGATCACTTATATCAGTTACACTGGTATATACCATATAAGAGGCACAAAATTCATATCGCTAACTGATGTTAATGGAGCCCCAAATGAGGTGGAACATCATGTATAATTATAGAATGAAGACTTCAGTATTTAAAAGCTACTTGGAAGTTGATTGCCCCTCTTCTCCCCAAACCCCCAGGATTCTCCAGAGAAACAGAAACAATAGGATGTGTGTGTGTGTGTGTGTCTCTGTGTGTTTGAATAATGAAGAGATTGTAAAGAATTGGCTCACATGATTATGGAGGCTGGCAAGTCCAAAATCTGCAGGATGCTGGCAGGTTGGAACCCCACAAAAGAGCCAGCGTTACAGTTCAAGTCCAAAGGCTGTCTGCAGGAGAATTTCATGATGTTTGGGGAAGTCAGTCTTGTTTTATTCAGGTGTTCAGATTAGGCCAACCCACATTATGGAGGGCAATCTGCTTTACTCAAAGTCTACTAGTTTAAATGTAAATCTTATCCAAAAACACCCTCACAGAAATATTAAAAATGTTTGATCATGTATCTGGGCAATGGGACCCAGCCAAGTTGACACATAAAATTAACCATCACACGCCCTCATTAAAAAAAAAAAATCAAAATGGGGGTGGGGGGTGGACAGTAAAACTACCACTCTTATAAGTGAACTTTCTGAGCTTTTAAGTCTTCAAAGTATAAAGTTAAACCTTTTTATTGAAACAGTCACTTAATTTTCTATTGGTAACACGAGGAATCACTTTGATAGGTTTCACTGCTTTTTAGAAATATCTCAAAAGAGATAATGACTCAAAATAAAAATGCCTAGGATTCCTTTATTACTTTCTTCAATAAAAGACAACTTCTTCCCAATTAGATAAAAGCATCTGAAAAATATCACAGCGGCTTTATTCTTGAAATCTAGTTTTACTTCTACCTCTTCTTTTTCTCAGATGTTAGCTGATATATGGGGGAAAATAAAATAAAAATGTTAGTATTTTATCTTGAGATGGCTAACTTCTATATTCATTATTTTGGCCCAACACTGCATGGTATTTAGGATTGATGCCTCTGTCCATTTTCCTGAAATTTCATATTTTTGGAGAATGGTGAGTTAGCAGTTTACATCCAGAAGGGTGGTGAAGGCAATAATTCGCTGGTCCCCTAACCTGTATTGTTTTCCCCTCTCAGAGAGCTTCCTATTTGTTCAGTACTAATTTCTGCACAGAAGCCTAGCTAGAATCTCCTTACAATAATAAGGCAGAATAGTTAGGCTCCCCGTGATCCAAATGTAGAATTTTATTACTGAAATTCTTTAACTTTGATTCTAAATTTCTTTTTGACTTCCAGACCACGTCAATAATATGAAAGAACTGTAGCCCCTCTTCTAGACAAGTGCAAAGACAAAACACATGAAACTGTCAGTGTATAAGCTTTTGCATTGTTTGGTTTTTATTACCATCTATATATGTAACACCTATTAAAAATAATACATAATAATCAGGAAAGTTAATGATCATAGGGGGCTTCTAGGTAACTCATGAATAGATATTTCATAGTGGGAGTCTCTCCTTCCATGTTATAGGTCATAGATAAGGGAGTAGGACTATTAAGAGTTCACCAGTGAATACTAACCAGAGAAGAAAATATTTAATTTTATGCAATCATACCTTCACATAAAGATTTTTTATTGTAAAAAAATTGGTATTTTCAAAATCTTTAGTGTCAAAAGTCTTTATATTAATAAATTCTCAGTTTTAAAATTTAAAACTTCATATTTTATTTACTTCTTTCAAATGTAAGCTCTCATCCTAATTAGAAAACTTTTGTTTTGTCAAAATAAGTTACACTATCCACAAATGCTGTTCAAGTTTTCTGTCTAGTCTCTTAACTTTGTGTTATCTAAACTTGTATATAATACTCTCCTGAAACTGCTCTGTTAAAGGTTACCACTCATGATTACGATAGTCTCCTTCCTGACACTATTTTATTTTTCAATTCATCCTTGTTATGTGAGCAGCTTAACCTTTCTAAAACACGTTTCATTATGTCAATCCTTCCCTCAAAAACACCAAGTGAAAACTAGTGGAATGAATGGTGAGAAGTAAGGTGAGGCCAGATTATTAGTGGCCCTTGAAAGCTAAATTTCGAGAGAGAAGTTTTTGAGGAGGGGATTAACACGATAGGCGATCAGCTGTTGCAGAGATCAGGTATACTGTGCTGATAGGAAGGAAAGTCTTTCTTGTGGGCCTGCCAAAAAAATGCTAACTTGTTGAGAGGTTTATAGTGTTGGTTAGTAGAATCCTCCCAATTGATTGGAGCTTGCAGGGTTTAACATACATACAAGATGAGACAATTTAGTTAAGTGTAGCAATTTGATTTTAGATGTAAGAGGGGTACTATCTGAAGCACAAAAGAATTTCTGTGGTGTGATTTCTGTGGTTGCTGGTTCACTTGAGCATGTGTGATTACGCCCAGGGAATATCTGACTGCTCATATCTGGCCACTCTCTTTAAGAGCCATGGCTCTGCTTAGTTAACCCCATAAAAGATATCCTTTGGCCCTTTCCTCAGGATTCCAGGTCAGATGAACCTCTGGTTCTGATATAGCTATAAACTTGCTTCTCAACCTGTGCTCCTCAAGTATTCTGTCAGCTTCCAGGATCCCCCTCCCTAGTCATCACCTTGCTAAATTGAAGAGAACTGTCAATCCTCCCTCTCCTCCCTCTCCTCCCTCTCCTCCCTCTCCTCCCTCTCCTCCCTCTCCTCCCTCCCTCCCTTCCTTCCTTCCTTCCTTCCTTCCTTCCTTCCTTCCTTCCTTCCTTCCTGAGCTAGGAGGCTCTCTTTAATCCTCACCAGTGATACCAGGGAACAAAGCTTAGTAGGAGGCAGTATTCAGGCTTGCTTTGTTCTTACACCTATATAGAAAGACTGTGTTTTCTAGGTAAGGCGTCTCTTGATTAGAAGAAAAAAAAAATCCTAATCTTAATTCTCTCTTCAGAATTAGGAAACTTGTCTTCAGACTAAAAGAGTGAAAAAAAAAGTTAAGCAGGTGTAGTCAGAGATTAGGAGGAGAACACAGAAAGGAGGGAATGCTCACAGAACCAAGTGCCTGGAAATCTAAAAGCATGAATTACTGGATTTTCTCAAATAGAAATTATCAAAGATTTTTGGACACTGCTGTTTCAGAAAGAGGACAGTTCAGAAAAAAAAAGTTGTGAGAAGAGATGGAGTTATGGGTAGTAGAAATTTGAAATTCCCTTCGTACAGTCTGTGGCACTATCAGGTTATTTTCTCTTTTTGTGAGCACAGCTTCATTACTACCTGCCCTCACCTGCAGCCTGTGCTAATGTGTTTTCATCTTCTACTTCTGAACTGTTTAGAGTTTACCCATCTTTGAAGCTTTAGCTCTATTTCCTCTTTCATGTCTTCTCTGAAGATTGCAGTTTCCATTTCTTTCAACATTCATAGTTATAATCATACTAGTTAGCATGTAATAGTTATATCAAAAGTATGAGCCAACTCTCCTCCAGTTAGGCAGTGTAATTCTTTAGTTTGGAGACTATATTGTAAACTTCTTTTGTATATTCCCTGGAAAAATTCTAGGTTCATACTTATCAAATATACTCCCAGTTCTAAAGTTCTGTTAAATACTGAAGAATCACTTAAAACTACCGTATAAAAGCTTCTATCCCAGCATGCTTTAACTGAATTTCCAAATAAATGTATCCATTTTGACTATCTCAATAAGATCGCTCAAACCATTCCTAGAGCAGAGTTGAAAACTTTCAACTTCTTCAAAACTGTCAAAAGGGGCAATCCCCGCAAAGACTCCAGGCAATGAGCTCTCAAGTTCGGTCTGCATTAAGTAGCGATCTTATAATTACTCCGATAGTAAGCGTCAAATATCGCGAACATCTAGGAAAGGGAGTGAAATGATCATCTAACAAAACAGTTAGCTAATCTGTCAAATAAGGGAGTTTACCAGGGCTCCTAAACTCAACGCGGCTCAGATTCTAACCCAGGTTTTACATCATAGGCGGAGGCAGCCAACTGGCGTGAGGATGCCATGCATTCTGGGAGCTGTAGTTTCCGGGCACCTCCTCCCAACTACGAGCTCCACAAAGCAGCTGGAGGACGGTTGCTTGGTATTACTAGCAAGCGGAAAGTATGGCGATGGCGCGCGTCGACGCGGTTTTGCCTCCCGGAGAAGGTATGGCGGTCCCCACGCTTGAGTCCTAAAGTTTACTCCATAGAACTGAATTAAATAGTTACCTGGTGGAGAGAAGAATCCTGGGTTTAGGGCTGCAGCTCTGGACCAGTTCCTTTGATGGGGGTCTGTGGGCGTCGCGGAGTCGCACTGTCCTCTGGGAGTTGTAGTCATCAGGCTTTGCCTAGCTCTTTGGGTCGCGGCTAGGGCTGGCCGGGGGACTACAGCCCCCAGGAGCCTTCGCATGGCCGGGTACCCCGGCTCCCGCGCTCCTGAGGCTACCTGGGTGGTGGGTTTCCGACTGCGGTGACTTTTCTAGGTTGTTTCAGGATCTCCCGTTTTCCTTCACGTGTGCCCTTTCCCCTAGGCTCCTAGAACGTTAAGGAAACTCTCTGTCAAATACAGCTCCCTAGACTGACGTTGAACCCTTTCTTAAAGTGTCCGGTGGCTGTAATAAGATCTGGGGGGTGATCCAGAGCCATCAGTTTTTCTCTCCTGGTTCTGCAGACTGGATCCTGGGATCAGGTTTGGTCGCTGCCCAGCGGAGCGCGGGGCGTGGGTGCTTCTGCGGCCGGCAGTCGCCAGGCGTGACCCAAGCTCCTTTGTTTTGGTTACAGCTCTGAGGCTGGGTGGCAGCCATCTGGGTCGGGGGCAGGGCTGAGGGTCCAGGCCTGACTCCACCCCTTAGATCAGGGACTCATTACATTCTTGAGTTGTGGGGGTGAAAAACGAAAAAGAAAGAGCTGTCGACCCCTTGCAGTGTGCAAAGGCTGTACATTTTCCTGGGACATTACACAATTTTCACCAAATTCTCGGGGTATCCCATGAACCACCAAATGCTGGACGCCATTAACAATGGAAAAACGTTGAAACCCTTTAGGATAATTTCCTGCAATAAATTTAATCTTGGTGTAAATTTGAAATTGGCATTTTTTCTGGCCCCACCGCCTTCTGATATCTCCTTTTAAACTACATTCTCCAGCCCAACGTGGCAACTTGCTGACAATAATAGCAGTTAACATTTACAGAAAACATTTTATATTAGCCAGACGATGTTCTGAGTGCTTTTTTTTTTTTTTACATCTAATTTTTTTCTGTAGAACAACATTATAAGCTAGGTATTATTATTATCCCCATCTTACAGAGCCCAAGGAGATCAAGATATCACAGTGGTTAACTGATGGGGCTAGGATTTGAACGACCATTATACTAAATTACTTTATTGAGTGTTCTGTGGTAAGGGTGGGGCTAAGAGCTGTTCATATGGTTTCTTTTTTTCATCCCCACATTAATGAATTAGGTGTATTATTCTCATTTTGTAGATAAGTTAACTGAACTATAGTTTGCTTTTCGAAATAATTTGGGCACTTTAGGATAGACTGGTAGGTTGTAAGCAGGTTAATGATCTCTTTTGAAAGATTAGTTCCACTTAAAAAAATAGTATCATTACTTAGGCACAAAATGTGGAACTAATAGTTCACATTTAAATGTGAAGAATTTCAAAGTATTACATCAAGAAATTCAAAAGTATTACTACAAGAAACAAGTAGAATATCACATCCTTTTAAAATAAATTTATTTAAATTAGTTTCAAGTATACAGTACATTGGTTAAACAACCATAATGTTCATAAAACAATCCCCCCAATTGCTCCCTCCCTCCCCTGGCCCTCCACTTAGCCATCATATTAATACTAACTGCATTCCTTCTGCCATGCTCCCCTGTGCCCAACTATCAACTACTAATTTGTACTTCTTTAACCCTTCACCCCATTCTCCCAGCCTCCCAACCCTCCTCCCCTTTGTCCATCACCAAATTGTCCACTATATTTGTGAGTCTGTTTTTGATTAGTTTGTTCTTTTTGTTCCTTAGATACCGCATATAATTGAAATCATATGGTATTTATCTTTCTCTGACTTATTTCATTCAGCATAATAACCTTTAGGTCCTTCCATGTCATTGCAAATGGTAGGATTTCATTTTTTTAATGGCTGAGTAATATTCCATTGTATATATGAACCATAATTTCTTTATCCAATTGTCTGTTGATAGGCATTAGGTTGCTTCCATATCTTGGCTATTGTAAATTGTGCTGCCATGAATATTGGAGTGCATAGATCTTTATGAATTATTGTTTTGGTTTTCTCTGGATAAATACCCAGAAGTGCAATTGCTGGGTCAAAAGTTATATCCATTTAAAATTATTTGAGGAACCTCCATACTGTTTTCCATAGCGGCTGTACCAATTTGCAATCCCACCAACAGTGTATGAAGGTTCTCTTTTCTCTGTATCCTCGCCAACACTTGCTGTTTTTTTGATTTATTGATGATAGTCAATCTGACACATGTGAGGTGATATCTCATTGTAGTTTTAATTTGCATTTCTCTGATGATTAGTGACCTTGAGCATCTTTTCATATGTCTGTTAGCCATTTGTATTTCCTCTTTGGAGAAGTATCTGTTTCAGGTCTTCTGTCCATTTTTTAATTGGATTTTTTTTTATCATTGAAGAATATCACAAATCTTGATGTAATTCGATATTTCTGAGGAATTTCAATCTGTATTCATTTAGAACTTGATTGCTTTAGTTTTTAAATGTTGATATTTGTTATGCTCTAATGCTCTCTAACTAAATGTATAGAGATTTTATGAGTATAATTCCATTCCTATGCTTGGTTGTGATATTTGTGTTTTCTAACAATTTCCCTTCTCTTTTCAAGGATCAGTGGTTAATTGGTCAGGGCAGGGGCTACAGAAATTAAGTCCAAACTTACCCTGTGAAGCTAATATTCATACTTTGATTCTGGATAAAAATCAGATCATTAAATTGGAAAATCTTGAGAAATGCAGACGATTAATACAGGTAGGTATTGCTATCTGCAGAAAAGTTATATAGGACCAGTTTATTATTATATGTAATAAAATAATAAAATAACCCAACAAAAAGCAACTCTGCAGGCCTGGAAAGTAGTAAATGTTTCTTTAAAATTTTACATGACACTTTTGATGAACACATATGTGCTCTATTTAGAATAGATTAGAAAAAGCATTTGTTAAAAAGGAAACATTTTATGTTGGCAAAATATTGTTTAAGATAACTTTATTCAGCAAATGTCTATTGGGCCCCTCTTAGGTGTCTGGCACTGTTCTAAATTTTGCCTGAGACAGTATAGGGACTCCAATTATTGTGAGTCCCTATACTTATAGTCTTAAGTAGTTGCTGTGTTAAAAATGTTTTCCCTTTAGTAGTTGGAGGAGGTCTGGTTGCTCAGTATAATGTGTATTTTCCATTGCTTACGAATAACAACAACAGCGACAACAAACTGACAGTTACTCCATAGAATAGACAATATATGTGAAAAGTACAAATTGGGTTTATATATTTGGGATTGTTTGGTCATATAAACAAATCTTTTTAAGCACCCTAGTGTAAAAGTAATATATATGCTTTATTCCTAAAAATAATGATATGTTTCCTTTCCACAGTTGTCAGTGGCTAATAATCGGTTGGTGCGGATGATGGGTGTGGCCAAATTGACCCAACTCCGGGTGTTAAATTTGCCTCATAATAGCATCGGTTATGTGGAAGGGCTAAAGGAACTAGTACATTTGGAGTGGCTGAATTTGGCAGGAAATAATCTCAAGGTGAAGTGTTTTCTTTTTTTTTTTAATAATTAGATTTTTTTTTAATTTACAGAAGTATTCACTATAAAAAAGAAATTCAAGCATCATAGAAATGAGTAGAATAAAAAGTAAAAGTACCCATTCCCACTCCGCAGGGATAATTTTAGTTAGCATAAACTGAAAAAAAAATATTCTTTTAAATGTGAACAAAGGTTCTATATTATACTTAGAAAAGTAGATCAAATAGAATTAAATGTTAGAAGAGAGTCTATATCATGCTGCATTAAGCTTTAAGTAAGTTTTAATAGTATAGTGGAGAATATACTGTTTTAAAAGGTATAGTCCTGCTTCCACCACTTAGTAGCTCTATAATTTTGTGTAAGTTAATAAATATCTCTGTGTCTTATTTTTTAATATGCTAGATGAAGGGACTGGATTAAATGATATTAATAGCTGACTGGTATTGAGCAGTTAAGTTATGCTAGGTACTCTTCTAAGCACCTTAACTGTATTTACTCATTCAATCTCATGACAGCCTATGAAATAGGTATAGTCATTATGCCCATTTTATAGATGAGGAAACTAAAGTACAGAGGAGTTAAGTAACTTGCTAAGGTCAGTTAGAGAGGAAGTTACAGAGCCAGGATTTGAACTCAGGCAGTTTGGTTCCACTTTTAACTTGTAAATTCTATGCTATATCAACTGTCTTGTGTCATTTTCTTCAATTTTAAATATTTGAGATGATATGATCCTCTACTCTTAGAGAGATAATGAATGTGGAAGCCTGCTACATAACAATTTACCGAATTCTGTTAGTACTGCTTCTTCTTTGTCTTGCTAAGCCCTCCTCCTGTGTATCCAGTAATAAGGAGAGAAGGCAGGAAAATCAGCTGTGAGGAACTAGGGAAGAGTTCTTTTTTTTTATTTTGTGTGCATGAACTAACATGATTATTTTCTTGTGGTAGGCCATGGAACAAATCATTTGCTGCACAGCTCTACAGCACCTTGATTTATCAGACAATAACATACCACAGATAGGTGATCTGTCTAAATTGGTATCACTGAAGGTAAGCGTGACTATGTCATTTCTGAAATTTTATACTAAAATATCGAGAAAAAGTGGTCTGATTGGCTTAAAATCAGCCTGCTGTGTATGAAGAACAGATTTTGTTCATTATGATAAAAATTCTATTAGAGTACCAGAAAGTAAGTATGGAACTTCTTGTTTCTGATACCTATAACAGATTTATTTTAACTAAAACTGGTCATTATAGTTAAGATGATGTTTATTTACCATCTTTTAAACATGATGAAATTCCCTTCATGCCAAACCAGAGATACTAGCGGCTTTAATTAGATAGTACATGGCATATTGGTGAGGCTGAAAGTAATCATTTCTGAATTTGAGTCTTTGACACTCAAGATTGCTGTTTTTTTAGTAATAGGTGTTACTAAATAATAGATGTTAAATTATCCACATTAACTTTAATTTAAAAAAAAAAACCCTATAGTATATAGGACTTTTTATGGAGGGGAATAGTATCAAATAAAAGTTGAAATTGTAGCTTCAAAAAAACATGTAGGCATTTTCCATATTTTTACTTCATTGTCTATTATTAGCATCAGATGAACTCATTAAGCTTTAGAAGCAGTATTATTAGCTCAACTTTCCCCACATCTTTAGCAGAAAATGCAACAGATATTCTAAACTATTTGATTTAACCAGATACTAAGAGAATTCAAAGGAACTAAAGATGATTGAACATTTTTTCCCCCTGAAATGGAGATATGATTCTCTTATTACAATCCTGGGTGTTCAGAGTTCTTGGTTTATTCTTCATTGTTGCTGACTTAATTTGAATCAGCAAGTAGCACAGTCTACCTTCCTTAAGCTTTTAGTTTCCAAGAGAATATAGTTGCAAATTATGGGTTGTAAGTTCTCTCTCTCTCGGAAAATTTGCTTTATACATGATTGTTTTAATGAGTGTTTTTCACTTTTCTCACCCTCTATTTTGATATTTAATTTATTTATTTGAGAAATTTTCTAAGAGTTTATTTGAGCCAAATTGAAGCCATATGCTAGGGAACAAGATCTCAAATGCTCCTTCTATTTCGATGTTTTAAAAGGAAATGAACAAGTATGTTGGAAATTGCTCAAGTTTTAATAAACTAAATCTTACAAAATGCTAGTTGCTGCAATAAGCATGTGTTCTTGGACAAGTCTTTAAAGCTTAGGCTTTAGAATGTGGACGTGAAAAGAGAGAGTTGGACCAGAAGACCACTTAGGATCTTTCTAGCATTAGCAGTCTTTGATTTGTGTGCTATGAGAAGTGTAATAAAATAGATCCCCTTATTTTCATACGTACCATTTTGCTTTTATCAAAATAGACCAATTTATTTGTAATCTTATTTGTAATTCTGTTTTTACTTTTAAGACCCTGCTTTTACATGGAAACATCATCACCTCTCTTAGAATGGCACCTGCTTATCTACCCAGAAGTCTTGCTATACTTTCTTTGGCAGAAAATGAAATTCGAGACTTAAATGAGGTAAAATTTGAGGGTAATCTGTGGGATCCAGGAAGCTGGAAAGTTATGAGAAAGGAGGAAAAACACAGGAGCAAGTTGTGAGCTACTTTTAGACTGTGACTATCTTGGAAGAAACTGCCATCAAGATGAAAAATTTAGGTCTAGAGCATTGTTTTTCTTTTTCTTTTTTCTTAATGTCAGTGGGTCATTAAGGCTTATTTCATATGTAATGCTGTAATTATTCCATTTGGAAGTAAGATTGATGGTTGAGGGACATCTACATTAAAGGGGTTAATAAGGCATGCTGTGCACCTTTCTCTGACTGATATTATGTTTCCAAAATAGGGTTCTTTCTGCTAGGAAGCAGTGCTGATGCTTTCTAAGGGACTCTGCAGCAAGGACAGGTGGCCATATGGTAGGAATTTTAGAAGTCAGTGGATAAATATGAGTGTTACTTGTTGCTTTTCAGAACAAGAGGGAAATTGTTACATTCTCAAATTGCCAAAGATGTGTAATCAACGGAAGCCCTGTGCTTGACACTGAACAGTCCAGTTTGTTCAACAAAGATATCCTTTGTTCCAGATTTCTTTTTTGGCATCCTTAACTGAATTGGAACAGTTGTCGATCATGAACAATCCTTGTGTGATGGCAACACCTTCCATTCCAGGGTTTGACTATCGGCCATACATCGTCAGCTGGTGCTTAAACCTCAGAGTCCTAGATGGATACGTGATTTCTCAGAAGGAAAGGTGAACATCGCTTCTTTAACATCACATTTATCATGGAAGTTACTGCAAAGACCATTTCTAGCTTACTACAGGTTAAACTGAATATTTCTTAAAACGTGCGTTTAGAAACTAAGACTGTTAGTGCAATCCTATAATAGACTACATGCTGCTCATTTAGGATTTTCTATCTTTTTTAAAAAAGGATAAGAAGTATCATCCCCAGAGGCTGAGGCTAGTGAGTGTATCTTAGTGTCCAACATACAACAATTTGATTTCTAAAGCTCTATGTTAATTGGTTCTTTGGGGCTTGGAGCATTTCTATATAGAAACTATATTGTAGATGCTATATTGGGTCTTAGATCAATCCTACAAAAGCTTGTAACTCATCTTATTTGTAAGGGGAGTCTTAAGACCCAACTACCCTTTATATCAATGACTATGGGAAAATGCATACAGAGTTCTAATTTGGAGCTGATAGGAGACATGCTGATTGGTCCTCCCCTTTTCCTACATGTGAAGCAGCAGAAGTGGGGACACCCCATCTCTAGATCATTGATGGTTTTTGCAGCTTGAAATTGAGACCCCCTGCATGATGGGGTCTTCCGGACACTGGCACACGATCACTGGTATCACAGCTGCAGAGGAGGTTAGGAACTAGGATGTGGACGAGAGAGAATTGAGATGAATTTGCTCTCATCCCTATGTCTCATTTCATTTCTTCCTCCCAATGCATACATACATGCGTTCATGGACTCAACATATGCATTCTTCCTCACTGTTTTTGTCCTTTGTAATAGAGACTGGTAGTAGTCACTTGAGGAGTTTCCTGATGAGAGAATGAATGGTACATTACTGACATGGTTTTTTCTTCCTTCTCCCTGCTCTTTCATTTAGTTGCTGAATAGGGCATGGAGCAGTAAGGAACGGTAACCAGGAGCTACATAATGGTGCTGGTATAGGGTGGGGGACAATATATCAAGTTTAGTTTGCCAAGAAAAAGTTTGGCTTTTCCTTTTTCTTGCAGTAGGTGTTGCTGTGTATCCAGAAACCTTATTTTGTTTCAAACTGACGATAGTTCTAAAGCTAGAATATGAATTTGCTTGGATTATCTTCTCTGGATCTTTCTTTAAGAGAAATATGTTCTTGGATTTTTATGGGAGTAGGACTGGCAACATTTTCATATATGGGAGGCAGCATGGTGAGATGGGCAGAGATAAGTGTTTGGTATAAAGAAAGACCTGAGAAGAGAGATGAAACCTAGTCAGGAGAAACAAGAGAAGGCTTCACATCTTTCCCTGCTACCCATTAGCTGTGTGGCCTAGGCAAGTTCCTTGGCTTATCTGAGCCTTAGTTTTCTCTGTAAAAGGTGAGTAATACTACCTGGCTTTTAAGGATGCTGTGAGAGTTAAGGATAATGTATATAGTATAATACTGATCATATACTAGGCACTTAATAAATGATAATTGTCATTATTAAGGGTAGGGACCAGGGAATGAAGAGTTTTGTAGAAACTAAAGCAAGTGTTAAAAACAAAACATTTATTGAATAGATGAATAATAATGCAAAGGCTGTGTTTCTACACTGTGGAAATGGTTTTAATCCAAATGACTTTAAAGTGAACTTGTATTTTCTTTGAACTTTCTCTATAATGTTTTACAAATGTTTAATTTCATAGACTTCAGGAGGGAACAGTGGGCTTTCATTTGGGGTAGCCTCCCCTTCTGTGGGGTGTCCTATGCTAAAGTCTGGGAGGAAGGAAGAAGTAGGAGTGTAACACAATAACAACCCTTTCTCAGATTCTTTTCTCCCCCAGGTTTAAAAAAATTGCACACTTTCATATAATTCAGGTATAGTTAAAAAATATTTAAAAATACCAATATAGTCACCACTGAGAATAAGAATAGAACATAATCAGCACTCCAGAGATCTCCTTTGCCTCACTCCTATCAAACTTCCCTCCTCACTAGGGATAACCACTGTATTGACTTTTTGATAATTCGAAAAGCTTATTTTTTTCCTGGTTATTTTGAGTCTTTAAATCAACCATCTCCCACCAGAGTACAGATAATACTAAGTTTTGGTGAGTATATGGAGCAGTTGGAACTCTTATACATTGTTTAGGAGTATGAACGGTATAACCACTTTGAAAAACTGGCGATATTTACTGAAACTAAGCATACAAATAAATACTGTATGATCTAGCAATTTGACTTCTGGTATATCTCTACAGAAATGGGTGCTCATGTCTACAAAAGACATGTACAATTTTGTTCATAGTAGCCTTATTCATAATAGCTCCAAACATTTGGGAGCTATTTGGAACATTTGGGAAACAACCCAAATGTCAGTCCACAAAAGAATGGGTAAATAGTTATATTCAAACTAAAGGACCTAGGTTGTTGTTGATGCTGTACTAGTGAGAAAAATGCTGCTGCAGTTGAAGTCTGAGACAACTCTGTAGTCTAAACAGTGTTCCCAGGTTTTAAAACAACTCGAAGTATTCTATTCAGGAGGGAGGAATAATTCTAAGGGAGAGCTGTTTTCTTAAAAATTGATAGGTAGTCTGAGCAGTGTTCAAAACATTTCCTGATTGGCCTTGGGAATTGCTCTGAAAGACAAGAAAGAATTTCCAGTTTTTGTATCTATCCAGCTCAACTTATTTGCTAAGAATGCTCGGGTTAAAGTTTTTCTCCCTACGAAAGTATCCTGGGTTCTTTGACTTCAGGTAGCCAGATCTTGAGTGTGTGTGTCATAGAAAAGAACAAATTGAGCAGTCACCCACCCCCATGGTGCTTTGGCGGAGTACCTTCTTAGAAGCACATCTGTGGAAAGACCAGCACTTCTGAGTAGCACTTCAGTATTTGGAGTTCTTTCTGAATTTGTTTTGATCTCTGCTTTACTACCTACAGGACCAAACTACACCTCTGTTGCTTAGTTAGGAATCAGAATTTAGTTATGGAGCAGAACTTTGGAAATGTTTCTTTTTTGAAAGGACATTAAAAATATATACAGAAGTAGAGTAACAAATGAACACCAAAATACCTACCATGCAGCTTCAATAATTATCAACATTTTGCCAATCTTGTTTCATCTATCCCACACTTATTTGCTGGAGTATTTTAAAAGCAAATACCAGATATCACTTCATCTAATACTCCACCCCCCTCTTATTTTTAGGAGAAAGCGGATTGTTTTAAATTTTATTTCTTAGTAGTTGTTAATTCTATTATATTATGTAGACTGTTCATTCAATTTCAAGGGAAAGATCATTCTAGTGATTTGAAATAAATGTTAGAGCTAAATGAATTTTAATTTTGTTTTTCTTTGAATTGGGAGCGAGGTGTTTTTTTTTTTTCTTACCTAATAAACTGTTTTATGGATTAATAAACCTGTGTAATGATATGTTTTTAATGAGTATAAAGCAAAGGCAGAAAAACATCTTATAGTAGTTGATGCTCCACAGTTTGTAGTTTTCCTCACACACTTAAATTGTGGAATACTCAAGCCCGAGCCTTCTATGTCTTCTTACTTCACTTCTTCCTCCCAAACTACAAACGATCTTTAATGTGGAAATGTTGCTCACAGGCTATATTAAAGTTGGTGATTGTCTTTTACTGTGGACCTTTTTTGGCAGGGGAGAATTTTTCAACAAGCCATTTGCTTGGTCAGAGAACTTATGGAATCTTAGAACAGATTTCATGAAGATTTGAATGATCTTTATTTCACAGGAATGTATCCATGGAAGAAATGCTATTATTTTTATTAAATAGAATAAAATTTTTTATTGTTAGACTAATATTGGAATTATATGACTTTGGTTAATCAGCTTGGCATACCTTGTATCTCATTGTTAGAAAAACAGTTTTTCCTTTCTTGTGACACTGGCAAATCACAAACTAAACTTGTTATATTTTATTGCACCATGACTCTTTTGGATGCTTTAATCAGTTATCAAAAGGACCATTTTCTTTTCAGCCTATAATACACTTCGGGTGGCTTGACAATTTTGGACTGTACAGTTTGTATGATGTAGATAGATACTTTAATATGAAGGTCCAGGAAAATGGTTGTGGATTGGAAGTGATTTTCAGACTATATGCAGTTCTTAGTTAATGGTATAAAAACAAAGTATTACTAAAATGATTCAACCTCAACTTCAAGGTGAGGCGCAGATTTAAGAATGGTAAAATTGAAGCAATGGCGTGTTAAATTGAAAAAAAAATTCAAACATATATGCAAAAGTAAACAGTATAATGACCTCCCATGAATCTAGCTTCAGCAGATTTCAACTCATGGCTGGCTTTGTTTAAACATCTATAACTTCACCCACTCTCCCTTTTCTTGTATTATTTTGAAGCAAATCTCAGACTACATATAATTTCATCTGTGAATATTTCAGTATATATCTCTAAAAGATAACAGCTCCTAAAGAAATAACTACAATATTGTGATGAGACCTGTGATGTATTTAGGTAATTTATTTTGATAACAAATGGAGGGAATACTCATTGCTTCTTTGAAAATAATTTTAAAATATTTGGAACCCTTAGTGCAACTCTGTGGAAGTGTGCCCCTAAATAAGAAAAAAAATCTTTAAAACATTAAAAGAGTAAGGGTAGTGAATCAGAAAGATAGATTTTTAAAAACTTGAATTTTATTTTTGAAAATTATCCAATGATGCTATAAAGGTAAATTAAAAAGAGAGATCATTGTTGCTTAGAAATATATCTTCTCTACCTGTTTCCATCTCCTCTTTTTTATGTCCCCCAATTCTAGTTTGAAAGCAGAATGGCTCTATAGTCAAGGCAAAGGGAGAGCATATCGGCCTGGTCAGCACATCCAGCTTGTCCAGTATCTTGCTACAGTTTGTCCTCTTACTTCTAAACTGGGTCTTCAAACTGCAGAGGATGCCAAACTAGAGAAGATTCTGAGCAAGCAGAAGTAAGCCCATTTGTTTATAACAGTGGATGAAAATACTTCTGAGTCTTTCTTGTGGGGTTAATAGGACTGAGGCAAGAGCTATATCCTACATTTTTGGGCATTTGACCCCTTGTCACTGCAGCAGTCCCTGTAGGGGAACTTAACCATGCAGTGCAGTCCAGTTAGGTCCACAGCAACTGCATTGCTAATCATTTCTTCAGTGGGGAAAGCTAAGTAGTATGGGAGAATGGAATTTAAAAAAAGTATTTAAAAGTATTTGTCCTTTTAATGTAGATGTTTCATATGAGTTTTTAAATACTAACATTAAGAAGTGTAGCTATATATTAAAAAGTATAGCTAGGAGCATTTAGTAGTCACTTCTTTTATCAGAGATCTTGCCTTTGAATGTAAAAGTGTATACATTTGAGGGTGTCTATGTGATTTTAAAATAAGTTTCTTAACCTTTTCTATACAGTACACTCAAATGAGACTTTGCAATTTGGTGGTGATTAAAAGTTACCTACTTTGAAAACTTATATACTTCTGCTTTTCTGACAATGTAACCTAAGAAGCAGAAAAGCCTTCTTTTTTTGGTTTGTATTACATCACATCAGATATTACTAATTTTTAGGTTTCACCAGAGGCAGTTGATGAACCAAAGTCAAAATGAAGAGTTGTCTTCTCTTCCTCCTGTTGAAACAAAGGCATCCCTTGTACCTGAGCATTCAAGCCCTGTTCAAGATTGCCATATAAGCCAGGAAAGTGGTAAGAAATTAATTGATCTCTGACCCTTTTTCTCCATGTTGTTTGATCTTTTGGGTATCATAAAACAAAAAAGTGCATATTTTCATAATTTTTACTAGTTTGTTAACTTAAGTGATCCTTTGGAACACACACACACACACACACACACCCCACCTGTATATGTGTGTGTATGTATATTTTAACTATTATATTTCAATTTTTTTAAAATTCAGAGGACTGCTAATTTCTGTGTTGACCTGATGCTTTAATTATTCTTATGATTATTGCAAAAATTTATTTTCTTAAAAATATTTGGTTTGATGTTTTAGGTGTATTGAAGAAATCACTGAAGACATTTTATTGCATTTTATTTGAGGGATTAGATTTCATTAAAAAGATGTAACTAAAAAATATCTCTTTACTCACCAAAAAAAAAAAAAAAGAAAAGATAAAGAAAAATATGTGAGGTGATGGATGTATTAATTAACTAGATGTCAGGAATCCTTTCACCATGTGTCCATATATCAAATCACCACAATATATACTTTAAATATCTTCCAAATTTATATGTTAATTATATCAATAAAGCTGAAATTAAAAAAATAATTTCTTTAGATATTTAGTGGTTTAAATGATACTCTGTTGATTCTTCTAGAACCTGTCATCCAAGTCAATTCTTGGGTTGGGATAAGCAGTAATGATGATCAGTTATATGCTGTTAAGAATAACTTTCCGGCCTCTGTACACACTACAAGATATTCTCGAAATGACCTGCACCTGGAAGACATACAGACAGATGAAGACAAGTTAAACTGTAGTCTTCTCTCTTCAGAGTCTACTTTCATGCCAGTTGCATCAGGACTCTCCCCAGTATCACCTACAGTTGAGCTGAGGCTACAAGGCATTAACTTAGGCCTAGAAGATGATGGTGATGCAAATGAATCTGTGAAAGAACAGGAGAACCGGGACTTGGATAAGGAAGAGGAAAAAGCTTTTTGGGCTGCAAATGAGTATTCTGTTCAAATGATGAAAAGTGCAGTCAGTACAGAGGTAAATGAGAAAGATGGGCTATTACCTTGTCCTGAGCTGACAGTAACCAATGCTGTCTTGAAAGGGGACACCCACAGTCTTACCTCTTTTCCTGAGTCAGTTGGACACAATGTCTTCCACATACAGCCAGACAGTGAAGAAACCATGTCTCAGACAGCTTCAGAGAAACTCCCTTGCAGAGTTTTAACCCAGAAATCTGTTCCTTTGGGACAAGATAAAATTGTCCCCCAGAAACTGAATGAAGCAGCCACCAAACTTCAGGCCTATTGGCGGGGCTTTTGTGTCAGGAACTACAATCCTCAAGCTAAAGACGTGCGTTATGAAATTCGGCTGCGCAGAATGCAGGAGCACATTGTCTGCCTAACTGATGAAGTAAGGAGGTGAGTCAGAAGTCCTGTTTTGTTGGTTTGGGGGTGTCAGAACACTGAGTCATTGCTGTGGTCGCCAGGACACTTTTCATACCATGTTGCCATTCTTGGTTTGCTTGTCTTCTGCAATGGACCAAAAGCATTTTGAGGGCAGAGGCTGTCATGTGCATCTCCATCTCTATCTAACACAGCAGTTGCTACATAGATACAGTATAGCAATAAATGGTGAATGAATATGTGCCTTATAGGCATCCATAAACTTAGAAAGGTACAGAAAATATAGAAAAACTGAATAAGTATAAAAAATGAGAAGATGAGGTTTACATAGGACCCAGTAGGTGACGTAAGAATTAAAGTACAGATTTAAAAGGAGCTAAAATTCCATAAAAAAAGATGAAATATTTCCATTTGCAACAACATGGGATTATCTTGAGAATATTATGCTAAATGAAATAAGTCAGATGGAAAAGGACAAAAGCCATATCATTTCACTCATGGGATATAAAACAGAAAGCAACAATCAAACAAAACATATAGACACAGAGAACATATGAGTTGTTACCAGAGGAGATGAGGCGGGAGGGGAGGATGAAGAGAGTGAAGGGAGCCAAATGTATGGTGATGGAAGGAGACTAGACTTTGGGTGGTGAGCACACAATGCAATATACGGAAGAAGTATTATGGAATTGTACACCTGACACTTATATAATATTATTAACTAATGTTAGCCCAATAAATTTAATTTAAAAAAAGGCTAAAATTCTAGGGCAATGGTAGGAATTATTTCTTAATTCCATGACTTGCATGACTTACTGACTGCCAATCCAGGAAAATTAGTACTTTGTAAGTTTATTTTGAGTACTAGTATTGCAACTAGCACTATTTATTACTATTTTATCAGGTGAAAGAGGAGGAGGCAGTAAAAGAGACTGAGAAGGGATAGCTAGAGTGGTAGGAAAACTAGGAGAGTGTGTCCCAGCTCCAACAGGGAAATATTTCCAGAGAGAAGAGAGGTGCTGTAGGGAGGACAGAAAACTATACGTTAGATTTAGAAGGTGGGGGTTATCGGTGGCTATGTTGGGGGCCCCTAAGACTCTCCTCAGCTTTGATGATTTGCTAAAAGGACTCATAAAACTATTCTGTGTATGATTATGGATTATTGTAGTGAAAGGGTACACATTAAAATCAGCATAGAAAAAGGCACATGGGGCAGAGTGCAGAGTAGACCAGGCACAAGCTTCTAGTTGTCCTTTCATGGTGGAATTGTACAGATAGGGATTGATTCTCCCAGCAACAATGTATGACAACGTGTGAAGTATTGCCAACCAGAGAAGTTCACTGGAGGCTAGACATCCAGGGCGTTTATTGGAAGTCACTCACATAGGCATTTAGTACTTGTGTGACTGACCTTAACAACTCAGACTTCAGTCCCCACCTGAGGTCATACTGATACAGTGTGACCCAAGGCCCCAGGTGAACAAAACATTCATCAGAAAGCACATTGTTAAGCATAAACTCATGGTTTGGCCCAAGGCCGCACATATTCAGATGCTCTTATCAGGCTGGATATTCCAAGGGCTTAGTAGTTATTTCCCAGGAGCTGTTCAAGGCCTGTTCTATCTTTGGAATAGGTAGGGTTTGAACACCCCAATCCTGCCGAGTTAACACTTTCCTGCCCAGTGATCTTCCTAAGAGCACCTTCAGTGGTGTAGTGGGATGAAGGTAGTTTGGAATGAGTTGAATAGTGAATGAGAGGTGAAGAGCTAGTGTAGCCAAGTATTTTGGGATGTATTGCTGTGAGGAAGAAAAGAGAGTAGGTGGTTGCCGGAGGAGAATCTGGACTTAAGGAATATTCTTTTTTAAAGATGGGAGATATAGAGCATATTTTTTTGTTGATGGTCATGATTCAATAAAGAGGGAAAAACTGATGGTGCAGAGGAAAGAAAAGTGCAAAATTGAAGTTCTTGAGAATGTAAGAGAAGAAGGGATCCAGTTTACCAGTAGAGGGAGTGACCTGAGCTAGGAGCAGAAGCAGGTAAGGTGATAGGTTTGATGGTGGGGGGTGGAAGTCCTGTCTGATGGATGCTTTTCCTTTAACCTCCCTCACTCTTATCCTCACCCCTCTCATTTTCAAATGGTGACATTTTATACATGAGGGAGGTTAAAGGAGAGAGATGCGAGGTGTGAGATATTCATCTTAAAAGTGAACTTATAAGGGAATGGGGGGAGATTGCTGGACAGTGTGAGGAAAATTTAAAGTGCGAAACAGTAGGTCAGGTCATATGATTTTCATCAGTATTTCCCAGCTGTTCTGTTTGGATTTGGGCATGGTTAATTTGGAATGAGTTTTTTCTAGGTGAATATGGTAGGGGATAGAGGGAAGGAGGGCAAGGGAGTTGAAGATATTTGGGAAAGGATGATCATAATGATGGATCTTGGAATTTAAATGAGGTAAAAGGGAAAGACAGGAGGAAAGGATCATTAGTTTGGAGGTCTAGATGAAAATGGGATGTCTAGATAATTGCATTGGGGTACAAGAGCAGGTGCACTGGGAGCATAGGAAGTAGTGGTTTATGTGGGTGCTTGAAATCATTTTTGAAAATGGCATAGTCAAAATGACTGGGTTTAGAGTGAGATAGTGAGAATGAGTGGTGTACGGTGGATTTTTGGATAGAGCAACCATGTGAATGTTGAGATCTGCAGAAATAGTGGATGAGTGAAAAAATAGTTTCTACTTGAGAGAGCTACTGTAAGTCTGATTTGAACAAGGAAAAGTTCACATTAGTTGTTGAATACATAAGGGCGTTTGCTGATTACAATTCAGGAGTCCCAGATGGCACAGGAGAAGGGCTTGGGGGCCTAGAGAAAGTGGGGAATTGGATCACAGGTTCAGAACAAAATGGTGGTGACAGCTTGGGAGATAATGGACGACTAAGGGAGCCATAGGTTTGTGATAGACCTAAGTATAGAGAGGTCAGCAGTAAGCCCAGAGTAGGACTTTAGTAAATGAGGGAACGTGATGGACGGGGAAGAGGAGTCTGTTGATATCAAGGAGTATATCAGGGACTGGTGCAAATAGGCTGAAGTTTAATGAGATCAGTTCTACTAGTGCCTTAGAAGAGAGTGTCTAGCTGTGATCCTAATTTTAATTGTTTTGGAGACTTTGAGTAACCATTCCTTTCTGCAGCTCCTGCCCCTTTGATGTGTTTGGCTGGGAAATTGAGGCCAGATAAAGAGCCATTTAATATTGTATTTTTCATCATCACTGGCAATACTTTGTAGAACCAATATAATCTGAATTTCAGTCACATCTCATTTGGCTTCTTTGTTGAGTCATTGTTTAAAACTAAAGATCATATGATTTTCATCAGTATTTCAGTTTAGATATTCTAAAGTGGAAAGGATTATTATTTATTTTTCTACAGTGCATGTTTTTATTAGTTGTAATAAGAAGTGCAAGTCAAAGCACCCTTCCTTGTGTCAGTAATGGGTTTTTAATTATTGTAGGTTAAGAAAAGAAAGAGATGACGAACGTATTAAAAATTTTGTACAAGAAGAGGCTGTCAGATTCCTTTGGAACCAGGTAAACCCCCTCCTGCTGATTTACATAATATGTTAACAAAGGAAAATTCCAGATTTATTGAGATTATTATAGAGTAGTCAGGCATATTAAGTTCCCTTTCTCAAGGTTAAGGATGTAGTTTGTGTTCTTTGCCACTAACTCTGAACTAGGATGGTGAACTTTGTTGCATTTTATTTAATCTGAAGAAAAATATTTTCATAATGTTGACTAGAAAGATAAAGAAGTATAAAGATGAAGGAAGGTGACTAAATTGAAGGATGTTTTTATCACTTTCCAATCCGTAGATATAAAAAAACCAATTTGAAGTTTTATGTAGCTATTTATCTTGTTTTATATTTTGGGAATATTTGCATGAAAGATGACTATAATGGTGTATGATGGCTACAATACACATGTCCTAAAAAGTACATATGACTTCTTGGGAGAGAATAATAGCATACTTTAGGGACAGTTCAGATAATTGGTTTTACTGTTGAATCTCATCAAATATTACTTGATGATAAATCCTTAGAAATATTTTTAATAAAAGGATTTGTTGTAATACGATTTTCCTACAAAATTAAAAAAAATTGATTTTTAAGGTTTTATAATTGCTAATAGTGGAGGAGTGGTTAAATAAATTATAGAATAAAAATATTATGGAATTCTATGGAACAGTTAAAAAGAATAAGGGACTGACATAGAAAGATCTCCAAAATAATATTGTTCATGAATAACAGCAAACTGCAGAACTTAGGGTTCCACTTGATATTATTATTATTTTTTTTTAAATGCTGAAATTCTTATTTAATGAGAAATCTTTTGGTAATATGATTTTACCTTTTAAATTATTAATGTATTATAATGTTGAGTGTTTTGTTTAATAATGTGAACTTTATAGAAAATTGTTTTTCAAGTTTCCACCCACTGGCAGCATGGTATTTTGTTAGTAATCTCCTACTCACTAGTTAGGGGGGAAGAGGGCACTCCACTCCCTCTCCTTACCTAGTAATCCCAAGACTTCAGGAAGCACCGTTCCCTCCTCCAAATTCCAAAACCATTACCACCTTTACCCTGAAGAAGTACTGCCAGGACCAGAGGCATTACATTGGTAAACTGAGGAAATAATGGTTAGTCTTGGCTGGGGAAAGGTAAACAGCCTCATTCATTGTTCATTCCTTTATTCGTTTCTCTTCTTTTTTTCTTTTTCTTTTTTTATTAGGCGAGGCAACCCTTGGTTGACTTCACAGATTGCCAGGACCTTGTCAGTTTACAATCCCTTATTTTTTTATTTTTAATGACTAGGCCTGACCCTGCTTAGCTTCCGAGATCAGACGGGATCAGGCTTGTTCAGGGTAGCATGGCCATAGACCCTTTACTCCATGGCCACTTTTGTGCTATGATGGCAGAGTGGAGTAGTTCTGACAGAAACCATTTGGGGCCACAAAGCTTAAAATATTTACTATCTTGCCTTTTAAAGAAAATGTGTGGTCTTAATAAAAAGGAGAAAGGAGTCATTAATGATGCCATTGGGGGCTATTTCAAATACATACTTGAAGTTTCACATAAGGATAAACAACAATAATTTATCCACCAAAGCACCCCAAAACAGGGAGTCAGCTGACACCTCTGTTCCGATGAGTGTAAGACGAATATACAGACTAGCAGATGTGGAATATGGGACCCAATCTTGATCCAATTTCACAAGCTGTTGAATATACTAAAAGCTCTTTCTTGTCAAATCCTGGCAAAATTGCTCCGCTCTTATAACAGATCATTCTATCCATGTTGAGGTTTGGCTGAAAGAGTCGAATTTTATTATCTACTCCTTGAAATGCCTTCATCCCTTCAAATAACTCCACTGCATAGTGCAGAACTGACAAGCAAGGATGCAAGGACAGGTTTTGAGGAGGCTTGATATGTGGTTTCTCCCATTCAAATTCTGAGGACCACTCGACTGTCAACATGTGATCCATGAAAACAGTTGCAAAAACCAGAGTATTTGGGTCTGGTTTTTCTTTTAAAATGGTGGCTAGTGTGATTATTAGATCTTTAGCCTTAAAGGCCTTAAAGGTCCCCATCACCTCTTTTTATCCTGCTTCTCTGGTACATTCTTCCACACATCCATTACTGCAGTCCTTCATTGTTCCCTCAGCTGTTAAGATTGCTGGAGCTGAGCGCAGGACCAGGCTCTTGCTGTGTTTGGGTTGGCGACTGCGGGAACGTCTCTGTACTTGAGTTTAAAATCTCCCTGTGTATTTGAAACTATATAGTAGAATGTCTGGAAGCATACATATCAAACTGCTGTCAGTGATTTATCGTGGAAGGTAGTCAAATGGAAACTAAAACAATTCTATATATTGCTTTCTTGTTGCAAATTTTACAGTAAAATTTTGAAATTTTAACTGTACTTTAAAAATATAAAGGTCATATTACCAAGAACTCAGGGTATTTTTAGGTATTTTAGAGTTATATATACTATATTGTTAGATAATATTTAAAACTCTTATCCTAAACGGATATCTAAAATGAGACCTTTATTTTAGAGAATCTACTTATATTAGTAGTCTCTAATCTGTCTTATTATATAGATGTCAGTGTATATTGAGTACATTATTGACCCCTTAGTCAGCTAGAAATGTGCTATTGTACTTTTGATTGTTTTTCAAGTAAAATTGAGGATTGTTTTGGCCCATGCCTGCTCTCCTGGCGAGGGCCTTTTGTTAGCAAAGACGTATACCACTCTTGCCAGCCTGGTTTAGGCCGGGGAATGTTATGGAAAGGATAAGGGAAGTCAGGCCGTTTCTAACTCCAGTTCTGCCATCTGCCATTTACTAACTTCATGTATATTGGGAAAAAAGCTCAAAAGACAATTGTAAAACAGGCATTATTTTTTACTTTATAATGAGACGACATCCGTTGGTTTATAGGTAAGATCTCTACAAGCTTGGCAACAGACAGTGGACCAGCGTCTCAGTTCCTGGCGTACTGATGTTCCTCCTATATCAAGTGCTCTGGTGCCATCTGAACCTCCATTATTCACCCGAAGTCAGGAGCCCTCTTCTGATCAAGATTCTGATTGGTTCATTGCTCCTGATGAAGCTCCTCAAGAGAAATCCTTACCAGAATTTCCAGACTCTGGTTTTCATTCCTCCCTAACAGAACAAGTTCACTGTTTGCAGAATTCTTTGGATTTTGAAAAAAGTTCCACTGAAGGCAGTGAAAGTTCCATAATGGGGAATTCCATTGATACAGTCAAATATGGGAAAAAATCAGATGTAGGGGATGTTAGCGAAGAACGTGGTGAATGGAGTAAGGAAAGCTCAAACAATGAGCAGGATAATAGTCTGCTTGAACAGTATTTAACTTCAGTTCAACAGCTAGAGGATGCAGATGAAAGGACAAATTTTGCTGAAGGTACAGGAGATAGTATGTTTCACATAGCTCGTTCCCCTGAAAAGTTAGATGCCTTGTCTGACAGTGCTTCTGTAGATGATATTCATGGCGTATCTCCTACTTTGCAAGATGAGATCAACCAGACACCAGAGAATTGTAAATTAAATGCAGAAGTTCAAGGGCAGCAGTCAGAATGTGATTCTACATTTCAGATATTGCCTGTTGGTATTATTGTGTAGCATGTCTGGTTGCTTGGGAAAATCTTAATATTTTCAGTTGCTCTTTTTTTTTTTTTTTGAAGGGAAATGGGAATATTCCCCCCAGTTTTGTTACTATTTATGTTGAATTTGTATTCTTGCCTCATAATTTCCATAGATAGTGAGCTGAGTCTTCATTTTGATTTTGTTAGCTTTATACTTAGCTGTAATGTATCAAACAGTATTTATTTTGAAAGCTATATGCACTTTATTTCTTAACTGAATTGCATCGACAGTGTTTTTTTCTGTATTTCCTTTGAAAAATAAACTAGAATATCTTAGAGAAGATAGAAAAATTTACCTTAAAGATATAAATAAGAGAATTTTGACTCTGGGGAAATTAATTGTGTTGTGAGGAATGCAATTCGTTAAAGTGAATATAAATGACAAATATGAGGATTGTGAACTATTGAAATTTGCCAGCCTCCTTGGAGGAAGAACATGTGTTTTTAAGACTTTTTTCCCCCCTTATGAGTCAAAGAAAACTGTCTTGTATGCAAATAGGGAGAGAAGATAAAATTATAGGACTTTTCACTAGGGTTAACTAAATTATCTCATGGAGAACTTTATATCATCTATCAGTTTTAACATATGAAGCAAAATGTTCCATGCATAATTAAAATCAAACTTATTTAAAGAGATAACACAATATTTCTCCCAGATATTTGCTTATGTATTTCAGAAGGTCGTGGTCATTTACTTCACTTTCGACCTCAGCCTCATAATGAAGAACATTTAAAATAATACTAGTGGTGGAATATCAATGACTTTTTTTTTTAAAGAACTATTTTTTATCTAAATATCTGAAAAAAAGTGCTACATTTAGAAGACAATTTAATGGTGGGTAAGAAAAAATAAACCTCACTTATCTCGTTAAAAAAGAATATTATCTCTAACTCCAGGAAAAAATGATAATATTGTGTTTGAATGTTATAGATAGATGTATTTGCAAATGAAGGATAGTTTTTGGAAGCTTGATATTTTAATCTTTAAGAACATTCTGATATCATTGAACAACACATATCTGATTTCCCCCAGTTTATGGACATTCAACTAGTTAAAACAACGGCAGTATTTAAGTGTTCTTTAATTTTAGGTGCTAAATACCTATTCATTATTCTATTACAGTCACTGGGTCCCCTTCTTTGAAGTTATATAAAATAACTTCTGATCCTTCAAGAATAAAGTCAGGGATCATATGTTAATACTCTGTTGATAATTAGAAACATTTCTCCAGTATGGATAAGGTGTATTTTTCCTGGTTTATAAATATGTAGCACTCAGGTTGAGAAGACTTGGATTTTGTTCTCAGAAATCTAGAATCTCTTGAAAAGGAAATATTTTCTGTCTCTTATAAACTGAACAGTAGTCTTACGTTCAAAAGTATTTCCCCTAGTGAAGCATGTGTAATGTTGAATGCATGTTATATACAAATAGAATTTTTAACTTTTTGAATAATAATAATTATCTTTGTGAATAGTTTTGAATTTCTTCTTAAATATACCCTATTTTTCTATTTTACAGTTAAGTGCCTCATTTGCTGCCCATGGTTAGACAAAGAAAAACCAATTTGTATAGCACTAGTGCCAAAAGTGCTGCTTCATGGTTCATCAGTTTTCCATAAAAGCTCCTGAAATGTCATGCTTCAGTATTACCTAACTAGATTTCTGCTGACATCATCTCCCTCTTCTCTTTTTTTTTTTAAGAAATGGCAAAACACAACTAAATTCATTTGTCAGCAAGATTTCCTTTTTTATCTTTGCCTTGTTTTTCTAGCCTATGAATAGTATTCAGCATACTTTTATTTTAAAATTGGCAGAGTATGATAATGATTAATAGTCTGCTCTTCATTCTATTTAACTTTACTAGTATTTTGAAGCGCAAGAATATTTAGTAGCCCCCTGGCTACCTTAACTGTACAAATTATTTTGAATGTAGATAGAATGAAATAATGTAAATTAGAATGCAGGAAAACTGTCATAGACCTAATATATTTTAATAGGTTTACAATATAATTTAAAATAATTTATGTAACTAAGATATTTGATTTTAACTCTATGGGCTGTTCATTGGTGTAGCTAAAGGCCAAATGAGTCTAGTAAGGTTTGGGAAGTTGAGCTTCAACATGGTCTTTGTGTTTTTTAGTTCAGCTGTGTTATTTTAGTTCATATCAGTTCTCTTGATTTATGGAAAATTCAATATATCAGATATTTCTGCAGAAGCACAGAATAATACCATGTGAGAATTAGAAGGAACTTTAGAGATGATCTATTCTAATATCTTTGTTTTGAAGATGAAACTAAGGCACAGAGAAGTTAAATAACTTGTCTGATGTTTTAGCCAGTTAGGAGTAAATAAACCAAAAATGTACAAGTTATTGTATTCCAAAAAAGTTATTGTATTCCAAACTGGTGGAGTAAATAAACTGAAAATTTAAAAGTAATTGTATTCCAAAATTATACACTCTCTATTAATCTTTACATTTAGTGAGTCAATAAGAAAGTGTCCCACATTTTTCATTGTCTTTGAAAGAGAAGAAAAACTTCAAAGGGAGCTAGAACTCTACCACTCAAGGCAAAGTTGCTTGTTAAAAACAACTAATTGATTCAGAACTCTGAGTTTTCTCTAAGAAATGTGATTTGATTAAAAGAACAATAGTAGAAATTAAACATTTAAAAGGATTACTTCATCTTAGAGTTCATTTATTTGATGACAAGTATAACAAGTTACTGAGATATATAAAATTTTCTAATGGAATGCTGAGTTTGATTATGTTTCATCTTTAGTTTTACAGAACAACAGATGTTAAAGTTTTAACTCTTCTGGTATGCAGAGAGCTTTAATCACGACAGTTTATACATATACAATATAGTTTGGTTTTATAAGTTTAATTATAAAAGGCCTCAGAATATGCACATTTTAGGAAACTGTTTAACCACACAGTGTTTGTATATATGCAAATAATTTTATTCTTGAATAATGTGGGTACCATTCTAAAGTGTGGAGTCTTCTTTCGTTTCGGATTATTTTAAATATACAAACACCTTAATAGTGTATTTTTCTGTTATCTACTTAAGACAAATCTAGCTCCACTTTTTATAAGTATTTTCAGAAACCATATTGGCTTAAGAAATTATAGTGTCTTCTTTGCTACTTTTTTTGGTGCAAATTCTTAGAATTGGATTTATAACAATAATATAAAATCTTTTTTTTCTGGGGAATAAGATATAGTAAAAAAATAAAATATAAAATGAGTCTGATAATACCCTATTTATAAATGAAATTAAAAAGAGACTTAATTGTTTAATGTATATTTTTATTTTGCCGTGTACTTTATTAAAGGATATTTATTTTATTGTTATGTTTTATCTTTTAAACATCTGACCCCCTTCATTCATGAAGTAAAGCAGAAAGAATCTGTAGGAACATTCTAAATGTTTTTAGTGATACTGCTCTTACTGATCAAACCTACTGTGCCATGTTAAAATTAAAAGTCAAGTAAACAAAATAGTCCTCACAGTCTGGAGAGAAATAAATAGTTGTCTTTCTAAAACGAGGTGCTTTTTGTTTGTGAATGAATAGAAACCATACTAAATTTTTCTTAATTGATTTTAGTGGCTTACTAGCAGGAATCACTATGCAGTGGCTTTGTTCTTTTCTAATTAAATTTATTTGAGTGTTTTGTAATAATTTTAATGTTGACAAGAATTTAAAAATAATTGATTTTGGGCTATTTTTAGATTTTTAAAAATTTCGTTTTAGAAATAGATGATTCAAATCTATTGGTTATGGTCTGTTTTATGAAGTCCTTCATATTTTATATTGTACTTATTTACTTTGTATTTGAGTATCTAATTCTAAATAAAAAGTTTATACATTTGTTCCAGTGATTATCTGTTTATTATAATGATTAGTAGTAATGGTTGTTATTCATTGTACTTGTAGTTAATGGGTAGTTAAATTCAGAACAAACTACAGATAGAAGTCTTGTTGTATTACAATAAAATAGCCCTAGCTTTATGAAAACATGAAATGGAAGGAATGCTAATTTAGTTTTATTTGGTATGGATTTAATTACTTTCAGGTTACTCACTGGAATTCTCTGGGTAGAGAACAGATATCCCTCAGAGAGCACAGGTGATACTGTCGGAAGCTGTTGGAACAGTAGGTGATGAAAGTGTTAGGGGTGAGTGAGTAAGTAGAGCAGAAACCCTAGGATTTGACACAGTTAGGACCTCTGTAGTTAGCTGGTGTTATGGACTGAATTGTATTCCCTGCCAAATTCATATGTGGAAGCTCTAACCCCCAATATGACTATTTGAAGATAAGGACTTTAAGGAGGTAATTAAGGTTACATGAGGTCATATGAGTGGGACCCTGACCCAGTATGTCTGGTATCTCTGTAAGAGGAAGACATACACAAGATTTTTTTCTTCGTATGCACCCAGAGGAAAGGCCATTTGAGGACACAGTGAGAAGGCAGCCATCTGCAAGCCAGGAAGAGTGTTCTTACCAGAAACCAACTATGCTGGCATCTTGATCTTGGACTTCAGAAATATGAGAAAATAAGTTTCTGTTGTTTAAGACACTCAGTCAGTAGTATTTTGTTATGGCAGCCTGAGCAGACTAATGTAGTAGAGTTGATTAATCAAAAATTTGATTAGAGTAGGGAATCACAAAAAATTATATATATACCTTAAACTTATTTTTTTATTGAAATATAACTGACGTACTGTGAACTGCACTTATTTAAAGTGTACAATTTGATAAATTCTGGCACACAATCATGCGCTGCATAATGACGTTTCGATCAATGATGAACCTCATATACAAAGGGTCCCATAAGATTATAAAGGAGCTGAAAAATTCCTATTGCCTAGTGAATTGTGACTGTTGTAAAGGCATTACTCACATGTTTGTGATGATCCTTGTATAAACCTACTGTGTTGCCAGGCATATAAAAGTATATAGAGTATATATAAAGTCATAAAGGTACATACAATTATGTGTAGTACATAATACTTGATAATAAATGACTGTTAAAGGTTTGTGTATTTACTATAGTTTTTATTATTTTAGAGTCTACTCTTTCTACTTATAAAACAAAAAGTTTGCTATAAAACAGTATATTATGTTATGCTGGCAGCAGCCTCATACATCTCATGTTTATCGTGTCTTAATTTTTTCCTGGCTTTATTGAAACAAAAGACAGTTGCTTGTACTTACATTGTAAAATTCAATGAGTTTTTTTCAATTATAGTTGGCATACAATAATATAACAGTTTCAGTTGTACAGCCTAGTGATCAGAGAGCCACATAACTCACAAAGCGATCACCCCATTAAATCTAGTACCCCTCTTCCCCATTACATATTTATTACATAATTAATCATCTTCCCCATGCTACACTCTACATCTCCACGTCTATTCAGCAACTATCCGTTTGTACCTCTTAATCCCTTTGCCTTTTTTTCCCATCCCCCCAACCTTCCCATCTAGTAGCCCTCAAAATATTCTCTGTATCTATGAGTTTATTTTCGCTTTTGTTGTTTATTTTGTTCTTTAGATTCCACCTGTCCTTCCTTTTAGTCTGTGTGTGACTTTTAATCTGAAGTGAGTCTCTTATAGGCAGCATATGTAGGGGGCTTGTTTTCTTATCCATTCAGCCACTCTGTCTTTTGGTTGGAGCACTCAATTCTTTTCCATTTGAGGTAGTTGTTGATAGGAATGTAGTTATTACTATTCTTTATTCCTGTTTTTGATAAATATTCTTTCTCTTAAAGAAGTAAGTCCCTCCAACATTTCCTGTAATACTGGTTTGGTGATGATAAATTCCTTTAGTTTATTTTTGTCTGGGAAGCTCTTTATCTTTCCTTCAACTCTAAATGATAGCTTTGCTGGATAAAGTATTCTTGGTTGTAGATCCTGAGTTTTCATCCTGTTGAGTATTTTGTGCCAAACCCTTCAGTCCTGCAAAATTACTTTTGAGAAATCAGCTGCCAGTCTTATGGGTGCTCCCTTGTAGGTAACTAACTGCTTTTCTCTTGCTGCTTTTAAGATTCTCTCTTTGTGTTTAACCTTTGGCATTTTAATTATGATGTGTCTTGGTGTGAGTCTCTTTGGATTCCTGGTTTTTGGGACTCTCTGAGCTTCCTGAGGTTGTATATCTATTTTCTTCACCAGGTTAGGGAAGTTTTCCATCATTATTTCTTCAAATAGTTCTTCAACATCTTGTTTTCATCAGGTACCCCTATGACACGGATATTTTTGCCTTTAATAGATATTTTTGCCTTCCCATAGGCTCCTTAAATTATTATCATAGTCATGGCTTCTCTTTTCTTGCCATTCTGATTGAGTGTCCTTGACTTTCTCATCCTCTATATAGGTCATTTGATCCTCTTCTTTATTCACTTTGTTTATTCCATTCAATGTACTTCTCACCTCAGATGTGTTCATTTCTGACTGATTCCCTTTTATAATTTCCATTTTTATGTGTTTTTCTCTCTTTGTTAAAGTTCTAACTGAATTCATCTACACTTCCCATAAGTTCATTGAGCATCTTTGTAACCAGTGTTTTGAACTCTGCATCTGTTAGATTACTTGACTCCATTATCTCTGGATTTCTGTTCTGTTCTCTCATGTGATTTCTGCTTCTTTGTCTTCCCATTTTGGCTGCCTTTCTGTGTCTGTTTCTATGTACTAAGCAAAATTCTTAAGTCTCCTGGTATTAATACAGCTTTGTAAAGTAGGTGTCCAGTGGCACAGTGCTGAGAGGGGTTCAGCTGCAGGCCAAATTTAGCCCCAGCCTGTGCCTCTCTGCGGCCACCTGTTAAGATTCAGAAAGCAATCCACAGATGCTGTGCTTATAGTTGCCTCAAGAAACCACACCAGAAACCGAGGCCAGCTCCGTCCTGTTTAAGTGTAGGTGCTGCTCAGCAAGGAGCTCCTGACTCTCTGAGGATACATCTGGATGTGGTTTGGGTAGGGTCGCGAGTTGGGGGAGGTGGCGTTTCAGGGAATCTTCTGGGTAGAGCGACCTCTGTTATCAAGTTTGATGACATCTCGGCTATGGTGGTGCTGAATCTGCACACTGGGAGCGGGGAGGGCTTAATAGGGAACAATGGATACTGCTGGCACTCCTGCCTGGGAGAAAGCCTCGCCTTCAGCCCTCACTCCAACAACTCAGTGTCTCTCTGTAAGTCCCTGGTGCCCCCTGTGCACAGCCGTACTGGCACAGGTGCTCAGAGCAAGTAGGTCCATTACCATGAAAGTCCGCTCACGGACACGGCCCCTTTAAGAGGCATCTGTAGCTGCTGCCGCCACTGTTGCAGCCTGTGTTTCACTCAGCTGTTCGGGACCAGGCAGCCCCGCGTTCTCGCCCCATCTTACCTTCTACTGTTGAAGGGTGATTTCTTAGACTTTTCCCTAGTTGTATGGCTTGTTT